TTTTTTTTTTTTTTTTTTTTTTTTGGTATTAATCATTATTATTTGTTTAAAAATTAAATGATCGATCTATATAGTTCTTAATTTAAAAAATTTGACTATAGTTTATTTGAACAAATTTGAGTACACATGTAATAGTTTTGGTCACGTTCGATAATTATTTTATTTTTTATTTTTGGTAATTAAGTTTATAAGCGGTGTAATTTTAAAAAGTATTAAAAATTAAAATTAAAAAGAAAAAAAAAAGAAGAGAGAGAAAATAGAGAGGGATGCAGAGATAGCCGTGCCTAATGGCTAAATATTAAAAGCAAAAGATTGAGAATGCAAAATGAATAGAGATATTAGAAAGGAGGGTGCCTGGTCCTGCAATGGGTTGCTCATATTTATATCCCAACCCCCTCTTATAATTCCACATTTACACGCAACCCCTCCCCACTTCATCTATTAATCTCAATTCTTTTCTTTCTTTATTTATTTTTGATATTCATTCACTTGTCCTTCTTTCTCGACTATTTAGCTTTCAATTTTTGCTTCATTTCGAGAGGCAAAAATGTAATTTCAAAACTTTCTCAAAGTATTTATGTTCAACCCAAAGATGTCACAAATACATGAGACCGAATAAATAATTTTTCCTTTTTCTTTCGAGAAAAATAAAATGAAAATTGAAAGGGTTTGATTCCATTAATAAGGACTGCGCCCCCGCCCCTACTTGAAACTACTCCTCCCAACTGTTATATATATATATATATATAGATATATACAATTTTCGTTTATAATATTTGCTTCTTTTTCAAGTTTTTCATCGTTTGTAAATGTATTTAATAATAAGGTGGTTTGGTTGGGTTTGGTTTGAGATATTTAGAACATTCATTTTTTTTTAACCCGTGGATTGATTCACGAATTTAAATTGTTCGTCAGTGTTGTTGAGATAGATTTGGTTGTATTGATGTTTGAGTGATTTGCACATTTCTCTGGCAATGTCTCTAGAAGCATACAAAACTGATGAATTAGGCATTGGAAAGTAGATCTAACAAATGTGGACAAACAAAAGTCACAAGAAAAGTGTGCATTTTCAACCTTGAAAACTTGTTTATAAATCTAGAGAATAGAGATCAAAACATCCGATAATTAGTATTTTATCTATTGAACTATGCTCGAATGATGTTTTACTATACTTGAAGATCAACTTTTTGAGTTTGACAAAACGGGACTGGATTTGAGCCAACACAATCGTAAATGAACCGAACTTCAAACGAATTGACCTCATTCATTGGGGGCATAGCAATAACTGCATAATTCGTTCAACAAAAACGAAAACGAAATCAAAACATAACTATACTTCCTCCCCACATCATAGCCAGACAAGTCCATCATTAATACTACTTTTGAGGATGTCAAAGAGAAGAACCTGTTTCTTCTTTTGCTTTCAAGCCTCTCATCAAAACCAATCTGGTTGTGTGGGTTTGTCCTGTAATCCATTACAATACTCTATTGAATCTGCGGTTGAAAACGTACACCACTTCACCAGATATCCTAAAAGAACTTCAAAATCAGATGGGATAAAGATAGCAAAGCTGTTCACATTAGAATGTACATAACCAAAATCGACAGAGCGCATACCCATCGAGGAAAACCAAGACGACAAACGAAATGTCAAAAGCCTAGAAATGGTATCAACCTGTAAATTTCCATGTTATAATCCTTTGAGGTAAACTAAGGAGGATTGCAGAAACATCTTTGGTTGACTACTTTTTGGAATTCCTCATGTTTTACGCTCTTTCAAGTTACTGGGAACTATAAATACAGAATCTACACAAACCCCACCTTTAGAATGCGTGCAGTCAATCTGTTTCATGGAAAATCTAATTTCCGTGGTCGATACCGACTCGTTGACAAAGAATTCACCTACCTTGTATTCTATCCAACACCCACGCTTGTGGTGTTCACTTACATCAATAAATCTGTTCTCGTCTAAACAGAATTCATGTGTCGCTTGCTGTCCATCAGAAGTAGACATTTCGAACCGTACAGGCTTTACATCCCAACCATGAGTATGCTCGAAGCTGCATCCACGTCGGCCGAGCCGCTTGTAGAACCTTCCAAGGTGAAGCCTGAAGGTCAGTGTATAGATATCAGCAGGAAAAGGGAATTTCACCATCCCATCTACTTCAAACCACCAAATTTGCTGCAGATATGCCACAACATTGAACCTGAAAAGATTGAGAAACATAAGAGGTGCGCTATAATTTTGTAGGATCCTAACGCTTTGCAAAATAACAATCAAATAGACACGAACTCTAGCAACCCTGCTTGATGGAAATCACATTGCTCGGATGCACAAAACCCACTCATTAAAAATGTTATTAAAGTCTATAATCTTTCCTTGTTACTTCCCACACAATCTAAGGACCCCCACTTAGTTTCTGACTACATTCATTCACGTGTAAATGTAAAGGACTGATCGTGAACGTTCTCAAGCACCTCATTCACTTTGAGTATATTGATATAAAACTGAATTCATAAATAGATCCAAAAGAAAAGTTGTCCAACACAGGGCAACATTACACAAAATCTGACAAGGTTTAGTCTTTGATGCTTTGAGACTAAAGCAAAAGTTTAAGAGAGTCTTCATTTCTGGGAATTTCTAAATTTGTGTAATCAATGGAGATTGTCGTTAGCCCCCCACCAAAGAGAAAAAACATCCCGAAGCTGAAAAAAGCAATATTCACATATACAGTTCAAGATGCAAAATCCTCAGAAAAGACTTGATTTGTTCAAAAACATAATTCAGAAATTTGTTCAAAAGGTACATTAAAACCGAACCAAACATGACAGAAATACTATATGTCGAACCATTTTTGGAACTTATGAAGAGAAATTAAAATAAAAAGATAACAACCAGTTCCATCCAGACAAACAATGAGTATGTTGAAGAAAAAAAATCATGCCCATGTCATCATCCAAGTACAAAACAAAAAGGAAGGAACAAGCCGCAGCACTGAGCAGTCTAAAACAACAAATATCAATGACAAACCAACAATTCAGTTTTTCATGCCCATCACGGCCAAGAAACATATTATCATTCTTCAGTAATATCACTCCCTATTTACCAAAAATCACATCAAATGCCTCCACCAATTACCAGTTTACTCACAAAACAGCATTTTGATAAATTGATACTTTAGTCACATATGACAGAATGAGTTTTCATCATATCCTAACAATTGCAGCAACAAAAGAAACAAAATAATCATAAAGAACCAGAGGAGTCAAAGAATTCAAAACCCAGTGGCATATGTAAGCCACTCACCTCCCGTCCATAGAGGCATAGATACATCTTCCATCAAAATGCAAACCACCCCTTTTGCAAGCAAATCATGAATAAAACTTTTCATTACTTGAACGAATTGGCAAATTCAAACCCAATTCAAGAGCAAAAAGCCTACAAAGACCAACTAAAAGTTACGTAATTAAACATCTATTGACCTCAGAGTGAAGAACTAAAATTTATAATTATAAGTTTCAAGCTAAGGATAATCCGAGTCTAACCGAGACTCTTCAGTCGAAATCCAATTCCAGTATCTTCTATCATCAATTCCAGTTATAGACATGGCCTTAGCTGATATTGACATGCAAATCTTTCCCGTGATTCTGTCCAGCCACACCTCCTGTAAAGGTTCAAAATTCCATAAACCAACATCCCTTCCTCCACAATTATACTCCCAAAAACACAAAAAGAGGGGGCGGGAGGAAATCAATTGTCGAACTCTGAAGGATCAACCCAGAAAAAACCCTAACAAATAAATTCCAACCCAGAAAAAAAGAAACAGAAAGGAAATAAAATACTGCAATGGGGAAGACGACGGACCACCTTATTTCCATCATCGAATGGCACCGGCCGAGATAGCAGTGCGTATATGTCCTTCTTTGACAGATTTTGATACCGTTGGGGGGGCAGCAAATCGAGAAGATCTTGATAATTTGAAGGCAATTTTGATTGCCAAACGGAATCCGACGAGGCGGCGCCGCGAAACGCTCTGTTAAGCCGCGCAAGGTTGCAAATCTGTGGCGGAGTCAGGTAAAGAAAAACACAGGCGACGCAACTCTCGGGTATGTCTCCGAGGCCAGGATCGTTGGTGGAGCCATTGGCAACTTCAGCCAAGTAAGAGAGAAAGGCTCCCATCGCCGCCGACGGTAGAGTCCCAAATCAATACCTCAAAATTTCCCGCAATTTCTTCAGGTAATCGCTTAATCGCCGGCAGAAAAGCATTCACGATTAGTTTATCACAAAACCGCGTCCCTCGTCCAACGGTTTTAGGAATTCGAAATCCGGACACGGATTTCCATGATACCCCACAAATAAATACAATTTCCAAAGAGAAGTTTTGGGCTTTTCGGACAGGAACGTGGATGGAGAAAAGGCAAATGGGGGCAAAACAAAAAGAGAGTGGCGAGCTACAAGAGAAGTAACGAAGAGATGAAACGACGCATCGGATTAGGATAAGAAAATGCACCAAATCGAAGAAATTTGAGAGGTGTTTGGAGGGCTAGCTCAGCTTGATTCGAAATCAAAATGGACCGTAAGATATTCAAAACAGAGAAGGTGGAAAAGGACGTGGAAGAAGAGTGGTGGGTCGTTGGAATTACAGCTTTGGGATGAATTGAAATTGGGTTCTTTTGGTTTCGGCCACTGAAGAACAGTGAAGCCCCACTGCGGCGCTATGGATCGTCGATCTCGTCTCCTTTGTGGGTCATCAACTTTTGATGTAAAGCCGAAGGAATGAGAGATCTTTTCTCGTACTTCCGCACATTTTGAATCTGTTATAATTTCCTGATATGGATCAAATATCCATCTTTCTCTGGAATATCTTTTTAACTAAATTATCAGGAGTCAAAATTTGGAGTTCACATTATCCAAAAAGTAAAAAGAAGAATAATTATTTAAAATGATGAAACATGATTAGTCATTTTTTTTCAATAACTAAGGAAAAGTAGAGCAAAAAAAAAAAAAAAAAAAAAAAAA